CCCTACGTGCTTGAAACACTGTAACATTTTTCTAGACATCAAGAATGTCAAGCATCTATTGCAGGATTCCCCTTTCCTACAGTTGAAATTCTTTTTGCTGAAACATTAGACACTCAATTATAGCTAGATACATTAAGGTCAATTCCTAAATGAGAAAAGAAAACTTGAAAGGGAACATGAATATGTTCATAACCTGGCCAAACATCTAAAAGTGGTATGAGAGTGCTGAGCTGAACTGATTATGGAGATGATTCCTGTGTTCAAATATCCTCAGTAAGTCTCCTTTCCTCACTTGACTTTTCTAGAAATTGTTTCAGATAACATTACGTTATTAGGTAACTACCAGGGATTGAATAACAAGTTGGTTCTGAACATAAGGATTGAATATGCTTATAATACAAAATGACTTTTCAAAGAACATAAAAAGGAATCCATGACTCATAGGCATATTGAAAACAAAGAACAACAACAAAAAAGGAACGACAAATAGGAATACCAGATAAATGAGTCTCATAAAGTCCAAATATTCACAAACTATTCCACATTGGTAAACCTGAAAAATGTAAGCATGTTTAGCCAATCAGAAAATAACTTTTTGAGAAGCACTGGATCAAAATGATTTCTACAAGTGAATTTACTACATTTGAGAAATCTTGAACACATACACACACACTAAAGTATAAGTAAAAGAATAAAAGAAAATAATACCAGTTCAACAATTCAAAAATTTCTTCAGAACAATCGAATGACATCACTATAGAAACAGGAAAGATGTGTAGAACTTGAGAAAAAAGCTGTACTCTTCATTTCCACTCCCAAAAGAATCTAGTAGTAAAAAGGGAGTCAGTATATCTGTTTTGACACAGTTGAAATAATCAACATAATTGAAACATCACCACCCATCAAAAATCAAAATAGAATTTTCATACTCAGAGAAAAGCTTACATATGTAAATACTTACATGTAAGTGTCTGTATATATGTGTATATAGATATGGAAAAGAGCTACAGAGCATATGCCATTGAATCAACAATGGTCAAATTTGAACATTAGAAATAAATAATGGTAGAATAGAATTATAAATAGGTGGAGGCAATGTGAAGTTGTAACAAGCAAACAAATAAAAATTGTGAATCATTAATTTGAATCCTAACCAATTTACAGTGATAGCCACAAACACTGATGATAGAAAAATATTATTAAAATTTAACTTATATAAAGCAAGCCATGATAGCTGAACCAGACCTTTAGAATCAAAAGAAAATATGCCAAAGGGGGGATAAACTTTTCTGAAAACTGATAATTTGTTGAAAGATAAAGTAGGGGAACTCACATGTATTGCTCTAAACATGTATGAACTGAAAATATCTTCCCACCAAAAACACATTTTTGGGGTGCAAAAAAAGTCATTTAAAAAACTTGCACAGAGATACCAACTGGGAGACAGGTAATAAATCTCACCTGATTATTCGTGGAGTCAAATTTTTCTAAACCAGCAGCTGAATCTTCAGCTGTCAAGAGTGGCTCGCTTTTCTCACAGCTGTCCTGACTGATGAGCGTGTCCGCATAGTTGGGCTGAGGGAAGATTACATGACTCTTCCGAGAGTCTGAGGTGAGGGAGACCTCATGGGAATACGTCTGCAGGAAAGCTCGCACTCCGTCCACGCCCACAAAGTGCGAGGCGGGCATTCCAACCAACCCACCTTCTGAAGCCTGGAGCACACGTGACGCATGCCAGTGCCTCAGCCTGAGCGCCAGCAAAATGATCACAAAGGCGAGGAAGACGCAGGAGACTGCGGCCACTGCCACCACTAGGTAGAGTGTGAGGCCAGAATCGTGGGGATTGGCAGGAGACTCGAAGCTGCTTAGGTCAGCCAGGACATCTGGAATGCTGTCAGCCACCACCACGGTGAGCATGACAGTGGCTGAGAGAGGGGGCTGGCCGTGGTCCTGCACTGCCACCACCAGGCTCTGCTTCAGCGCATCTCTGTCTAGTATGGCCCGTGCAGTGCGCACCTCGCCCGTGTGCAGCCCCACCGCGAAAAGCCCTGGCTCGCTGGCCTTGAGCAGGCGGTAGGACAGCCAGGCATTCTGGCCAGAGTCTCTGTCCACCGCCACCACCTTGGTCACCAGGTAGCCGGGCTCTGCGGACCGGGGCGCCAGCTCCACGCCTGTGGAACCGTCGGTGGGGAGGGTGGGGTACAGGATCTCTGGTACATTGTCATTCTGGTCCAGCACAAATATGCTCACAGACACGTTGCTGCTGAGTGGTGGGTTCCCACTGTCCAATGCAGTCACCCACAGTTGCACGTCACGGAACTGTTCATAGTCAAAGGAGCGCAGCGCATATAGGGTGCCCGTGTCTGAGTTGATAGACACATAGGAGGATAAAGGTGCTCCCTGCAGGGTATCCTCCACCAGGGAATAAGTGACTCGGGAGTTTTCATTGCTGTCTAGGTCGCGTGCCATCACTGAGAAGAAAGAAGCTCCTCTGGGGTTGTTTTCAGGAATGAAGACAGAGTATGAGGACTCAGCAAAAGTGGGTGGGTTATCATTGTCATCTGCGACATTCAGTGAAATGTGAGTTTCTGTAGACAAGGGAGGACGTCCCTGATCTGTGGCTATCAAGGTTATATTATAGCTGTGGACCTGCTCCCTGTCCAGCACTCTGTTTGTTATCAATTTGTAATAATTTCCATAAGTCTTTTGTAATTTAAAAGGCAGACTGTTAGGAACGAAACATGAGACTTGACCATTTTCTCCAGAGTCTTGATCTTGCACATTTAGAAGAGCAATAACTGTACCTGGAGGAGAGTTTTCCAGCACTGAATTACTAGAAGATGTGATAGTTATTTCTGGAGCATTATCATTCACATCCACAACTGTGATCAATATCTTAGCTGTGGTTGAGAGACCTCCACCATCTTGGCCTTGGACTTCCATCTCATAAAATCTGTGTTTCTCAAAATCCAGAGACCCTCGTATAAAAACTTCTCCAGTTTGAGAATCCAACTGGAATATTTCAGAAGCTTTGCTTTCCATATTCTGGAATGAAAACACCACTTCCCCATTGATTCCCTCATCTGGATCAGTTGCATTTACCATGAGAACCCGAGTTCCAGAGCTGAGGTTTTCAGGAATACTCACTTGATATACAGACTGTGTAAACTTTGGTGTGTGGTCATTTACATCAAGGACCACCACACGAATGGCAACAGCACCCTGGTGGATGGGATTTCCTCCATCGAAAGCTGTGAGGAGGAGATGGTGAGCAGCTTCTTTTTCCCGGTCCAGACTCCCCTCCAGCACTAGTTCAGGACTCTTGGCCCCATCCGTTCCACCTCGCATTTGCAAAGAAAAGTAACTATTAGGATTGAGTTGGTAGCGCTGGAGAGAGTTCATTCCTACATCTGGATCTCTAGCGTTAGGAAGGGGAAATTTCGATCCTGGAGTTGCGTGCTCACTGACTTTTATCTCTATTTCCGCCTCCTGGAAGCTGGGGGCATTATCATTAACATCCAGTATTTCCACCTCCACTCCGTAAATCTTCAGGGTATCTTCCACAAGTATCTCTATATTTAAAAAACAGGAGGACAGTGTCTCACAGAGCTCCTCCCGATCTAACCTACCTGCAGTGATCAAGCTGCCACTTCGCGGATTCAGAGCGAAAAGCTGCATCCTGCCTCTGGAGATGATGCGGACTCCGCGTTCCGCCAGCTCCCAGGGTTCCAGCCCCAGGTCCTTGGAAATATTGCCCACGAAGAAGCCTTTATCTGTCTCTTCGGGCACCGAGTACCGGATGTGCCCTGCCCCAGCCTCCTGTAGCGTCCTCAGGAAAATGTATAGTAGGATCAGCCCGTTGCGGTCCAGACGCAGTAGCCGATTCCCCATGGCAGTAAGCTGAGCCTATATTCCCTGGTTTCTTGGGCTGTTTCGTTCTGAATCAGCTTATGTATCTATGAGGTTCTAGGATGACTGCATCCAGAATATATCAGAGAGCGAAACTTTAATTTTCCAGCATCAGGATCTGTAAGTATCCTGCTTTGTGTTGTAGAGATTGGGGAGGGAGGGACGGCAGCTTGAGCTTCCCATTCCCTGATTGGTGAAGAGCGGCGCCTAGAGCCAAATTTTATTATTGCAACAAGTAAGAAAAACCCAACTAATGTGTCTGTTCCAGAAGTTATTACACACCTCTTCAAGCATTGTAAAACTGAAAATTGCACACAATAAAGGGGTATATAATGTGATGTTGAAAGTTTACTAAGAGCCTTTAATAAAAGGGATAATTATTAAAAGGGCTTGTTTAATTTTTAAAAATGTTTTCAAATACTATTGAAACTGAACAAACTGCAGGTTAGACTTGCTTCCTATGGATTTTTACCAACTGAAGGGAATAGTATTTATGGATGTGGAACTAACTTGGTTCCAAAAAAATCATCAGAGCGCATGACTAAAATTCTTACCAATATTTTTTTATTGAGTAAAAGATGAAACATTTGAGGAAATTTGAATATTAGGTCTGTCATTTAAAAAATACCATGATATAAAAATAGATTTGTGTTCCATAACCTTAGCTAGTAAGTATTCTCCTTGATGAAAAATTTGCCTGAGATTTCTATATATTCTACCTTAAATTGTATAGAAGGACTGCAGCACTGTAAACTTTAGTCTAAATGACATCGATAGGTTTAACCTATATTTATTTTAGGAATTTCATTGAGAGATTCAATCTAGAATCATATTTATTTATTTTAATTTTAATGTTTATTCATTTTTGAGAGACAGAGACAGAGCACAAGCAGGTGCAGGCATAAAGAGAGGGAGACACAGAATCCGAAGCAGGCTCCAGGCTCTGAGCTGTCCGCACAGAGCTCTATACGGGGCTGGAACTGATGAACGGTGAGATCATGACCTGAGCCAAAGTCTGACACTTAACTGACTGAGCCACCCAGACACCCCTACCTTTTCATTTTTAAGTAAGATCTACACAATCAAGAGTCACATGCTCTACCAACAGAGCCAGCCAGGCACTCATGAATCTAGAATCTTTAAACAACAATGCTCCAGTGGAATATATTGCATTAGAATATGAAAAGCATTATTTTAAATACTTACCTGTTTAAAAGTCTTCTTATCTGCTTCAAGACTAGGAGTTAAAATGCTAGTCATTAGTCCTGAGGGGTTATCTTTGTTGAAAATATCTTGTGTGGCTGGAAAATGATCAACAGATGTAAGAAAATTAAACCCTGGAATAGTTTGATCCCCGGGCACACACAAATTATAGGTATAGGGCAACCTTCCTTCACTGTAGTTGCCAGTAATTTCCGGTCCAGACTTGGAGCACAAAACAGACCCAAAGCGGCCCCAGGTGGTGGGGCTGGAGGAGCGGCGCAGGCGCAGGGCAATCGCCAGAATCACCGCGAGGAGGAAGAGCACGGAGATCAAGGCCAAGGCCACCACCAGGTAAAACTGCAGCTCGGCCTGGGGGTCAGAGGCCTCCGGACGGTCGCCGATATCGGGCAGTACTTCCTGTAGGCTGTCAGCGAACACCAGGTGCAGCGTGGCGGTGGCAGACAGGGGCGGCTGTCCCCCGTCCCGCACGGCGACCAGCAGGCGCTGGCGCGCCGCGTCCCGGTCGCCCAAAGCACGCGCAGTGCGCACCTCGCCCGTGCGCAGCCCCAGGCTGAAGAGTCCGGGCTCGCTGGCCTGCAGCACGTGGTACGACAGCCAGGCATTGTGTCCCGAGTCGGCGTCCACCGCCACCACCTTGGTGACCAGGTAGCCGGGCTGCGCGGCGCGCGGCACCGTGTCGAAGAGCGCCGAGCCGTCGGGCCCCAGCGCCGGGTACAGCACCCTGGGCGCGTTGTCGTTGCGGTCGCCCACCAACACGCGCAGGCTCACGTTGGCGCTGAGCGCTGGCGAGCCCTGGTCGCGCGCCTGCACCGTCAGCTCGAAGGCGCGCAGCTGCTCGTGATCGAAGGCGCGCTGCGCGAACACCACGCCGCTCTGCGTGTTCACGGACACGTGGGACGCCAGCGCCCGTGGCTCCAGGTCGCTGGCCACGATGGAGTAGGAGACGTGGCCGTTGGGCCCCAGGTCGGGGTCCGAGGCGATGACTTGTGCGATAGATGCTTCAGTAGGATTGTTCTCCGCCACGGGGACCATGTAAGAAGGCTGTTCGAAAACCGGCGCGGTGATGTGCAAAGTGATGACAGTGCTGGAGGAGAGGGGCGGATTACCCCTGTCAGTGGCTGTTACGGTGACGTTGTATTCCGGAGTCTGCTCTCGGTCTAGCGGTCCATCTGTCACCAGCTTGTTGTAATTATTAGATGAAGAATGAATCTTAAATGGAATATCTCTATTTAAATTACAAGTGACTTCTCCATTTTCCCCAGAATCCTGGTCCTGTGTTTTGAAGAGAGCCACAACCATTCCTGGATGGGAATCCTCTAAAATTTGATCAGAGAGAGAAGTAATGATTATTTCAGGGATGTTGTCATTTTCATCTAGAACTTCTATGATTACTTTACATTGTGTAGAGAGGGACCCTCGGTCCTTTGCTTCTACATCCAGGGTATATCTTTCTACTTCTTCAAAATCCAAGGACTGATGAGTTATAACGTCTACTGTGGCAGAATCCAGAGAGAACATGTGCTGGGCTTTATTAGCCACACCAAGGAATGAGTAGGTGATCTCTGCGTTGAAGCCTTCTTCTTGGTCAGTGGCACTCACCTTCACCCACTGAGGTGCCTAGGGGTATACCTTCCCTGAAGACTGACCCTGTACATATTTTGGCTGAACACTGGGGGGTTATCTTTGGCATCCACCACCAGGATTCGGATCTGAGCTGTGCTGCTTAGTGGTGAACTTCCATTGTCAAATGCTGTCAGCAGCAGATGATGAGAGCTTTGTGTTTCCTGGTCCAGGGTCTTCTTCAGTACTAATTCTGGATATTTGCCACCACCGGGATTGTCTTTCACCATCAAGGAGAAGTACTCATTAGGGCTTAGTTGGTATTTGCTCAGTGAATTCGTACTAATATCAGGATCTTTTGCAGACTCAAGAATTGTTCCCATCCCCGGAGAGACAGATTCACTGATTTCTAAATTTATTTCATCTTTATGGAATTGTGGGGCATGGTCATTAATATCCTCAACAACCACAATGATATGAAAAATACTTAAAGGGTTTTCCATCATGGCTTCCAACTGCAATTCACATCTTCTCTGCAGATCTCCTCGTGGTCCATTCGGTCCTTCACTAGTAAGTCCCCGCTCTCCGTGTCTACGTTGAAAAGCAGCTTCTCCGTGCTGACTCACAGCTTGCGAACCGACATGTCCACGACACTGAGCCTGAGATCCTTGGTGAGGTTCCCCACCACCGAACCCTTGGCTAGTTCCTCGGGAATCGAGTAGCGGATCTGCTCGCAGAGCGCGGGGTAGAACAAAGGTAGTAGGAAGAGAAACAGTACCTGGCGCCTGCCGGCCTGGCGCCTCTGAGCGCAGCTCCCTCCCATTGCGCGCTCTAGTTCTCGCTGGGTCCCAGTCTTTCCAGCTGGAGAAGGTGCACACTATCGCACTGGTAGCACTCGGCCCAGAACATACAGACCCCCAGTGTTAGGGCTGGGAATCTGTGTGTGCTGGGGAGAGTCTGCGCAGCCAGGGGCCCCAGTGTGTATCCAGTTCCTTCACTCTGCGTTGTTGACTGAGCAGGGAAACCCAGGCTAGAGGCTGAAGAATCCTGGGCAACAGCACTTGCCCTGTACTGGCCAACAGCAGCGCCCAGAGGCTTTGTGTGGAACCACAATCTAGTTTTTTCTATTTCAGGAAATCTTGTTAAAATGTAAGATGATAACAGCTAATATCCTGAATGTTATTTCTCAATGTTTTCATTTTCATTGTGAAACATGTTTCATGTGATCAAAATCATCATGTTTTATATGTTAAGATTTTCATAGACTTGGAATAGATAAAAGTACTTCTTTCAAAATTCAAAAAAGCACAAAAGAATATAAAATGTAAAGTAGCTCTTCCACCCAATGGCCCATTGCTATCCAGTTCTTCCATCCAGAGGTAACCACTGTTGTTCCTTTTAAAAAGTAATTATCCACAAAAGCAAGTACTGAAGATAAGCAAAAATCTTATTGTCAATTGTAGCTTATATTTAGCTAGAAAGTATTAATCCATCTCTCACATTTAGGAATTAGAAGGTTGTCATTCCCATATTCATTAAATTCACCCAGGGTGTTCTGTGCTGCTTTCAAAGAATATTGAATATCACTTGGTTCTTGGTTACAATAACTACCATGTAAAAAGAGTAGTTTTTTAAAAACTGTATTTTTCAGAACAGAATTATTTAGAGAGATGCATAATAATTTTGACTCCCAAAGACAGATTTAAGAAGACTATTTCAATGATTTAGGTAATAACTATGACCCTAAAGGATGTGTTCTCCTTTGTTCAGACCTATTGTTGAACAAATGTTGGATGACATGAAAAAAATCATAGTCTAAGTATTTTGAGACTCATTAAGATATTCTTGGATTTTACGCTACCGTATTAGTTTAGAAGAATATTAGTTATATGTTAAAAGATATCAAATCAAATGCATCACCATCTTCACTAAAGTAAATAGCCACATGAATAATTCTACTGATCATTTAGAATACTTTTGTGTACTTCTCTGCTTATATTCGGTCTCCCACAGAAATGACATTTCTTTCTTGTCCTAGCTTATTTGGACACTTAATTTCAGAGTTTTCATAAAACCAGATTGGTCTTTTTAAAAAGCTTCTAAAATTCCCTTGGACTCATCTTTTGCTCCTGTTCTTGGGAACACGGTCTCCACCAAAAGATATTTTTTCAGCCCTATTATTTGGAGGATTTAACAAAAAACGCTGATAGCATAACCCAAATTTGCTTAATTTAACCTTCCATACATTATTTAGCATCCCTACTGAGCAAGGAAAGTCAAATTAAAATGCTGTCTTCCACATAACAGTATGAAATTAGAATCACAAGCAGAAAGGATGCTGCACTGTTACGGGGGCGCCTGGGTGGCTCCGTAGGCTCAGCATCTGACTCTTGATTTTGGCTCAGGTCATGAAATTAGAGTTCATGGGCCTGAGCCCCACGTTGGGCTCTGCATTGACAGTGTGGCGCCTGCTTGGGATTCTCTCTCCCTCTCTCTTTGCCCCTCCACAGCTCTCTCTCTCTCAAAATAAATCAACTTTTTCTAAAAGAAAAGAATGCTGCATTGTTACTAATTATGATTACACTTGGAAAATTTTAAGCACACATTGTTAATAGAATATTAATGAAAAACTTAACTCTCTCTAGGAAGTATATTCAACTGTAATTATCACTGCAAGGTATAGTTTGAAAAATAAAACCACAAAGGGGTATTGCTCTTCTCACTGGGAAGAACAACACTGAAGAGTCTGTTCACTATTTCCAGTGAAGTTAATGCATTTGTCTCTAATATTCACCTATTTTTACCAGACCTGCCTTCAAAACAACAGCTAAGGTTGCCTAAAAGGCTAGGATTCAGCATGCGGCCAAGAGAAGTGCACATAAATTGACAGACACTTATGGAAGGACTCTCAGGAATTGTCAGTACTGTACTCAACAAAACTATAAAATAGAAAGCTCTGCAAAATCATAACAGCCTTGTGACCATAGGCCTTCACTGACATTGACATTAGGTGAGTATTTACCAGAAAATAAAAATATATCAGTATTAATAACCATCAAATTCTACTCTTCAATGTCTCAGCAAAAAACAAATATTGAAATGGAGGGAAAAGTGAAAAAATAAAGACCAAAATTTTCTATCATAATGCTAAACCTAAAAGTAAAACCAATTATAATTCTTAAAAGAAAAAGAGTAAAACCGGAACTCACTGGAACCCAAGGGGTATCTTCTACTGGTAACTTCGAATCATCTAACAAAGACAAAGGATCCTTTTTCTCAAAGCTCTCATGGCTAATGAGCATGTCGGCGTAGTTGGGCTGGGGGAAGATCACGTGACTCTCCCGAGAGTCCGCTGTGAGTGAAACCTCATGGGAATAAGTCTGCAAGAAAGCCCGTACCCCTTCCACGCCCGCAAAGTGGGAGGCAGACACACCCACTGGCCCGCCTCCTAAAGCTTCGAGCTGACGCGATGCATGCCAGCGCCTCAGCCTGAGAGCCAGTAGCACGATTACAAAAGCGAGGAAGACGCAGGAAACTATGGCTACCGCCAAGACCAGGTATAGAGTTAGTGCTGAAGCTTCGGAATCATGTGGGACTTCTAGGCTGCCCAGGTCAGCCAGGAAATCTGGGATGCTGTCAGCAATGGCCACAGTGAGTGTGACGGTGGCCGAGAGAGGGGGCTGGCCGTGGTCCTGCACTGCTATCACCAGGCTCTGCTTGAGCGCATCTCTGTCTAGCACAGCCCGTGCAGTGCGCACTTCGCCCGTATGCAGCCCCACCGCGAAGAGCCCTGGCTCGCTGGCCTTGAGCAGGCGGTAGGACAGCCACGCATTCTGACCCGAGTCTTTGTCAACCGCCACCACCTTAGTGACCAGATAGCCGGACTCTGCAGAACGGGGTGCCAGCTCCATACCCGTGTAACTGTCGGTGGGGAGGGTGGGGTACAGGATCTCTGGTGCGTTGTCATTCTGGTCCAGCAGGAATATGCTCACAGAAACATTGCTGCTGAGTGGTGGGTCCCCACTGTCAGTGGCAATCACCTGAATTTGTACATCGTGAAATTGCTCATAGTCGAAAGTTTGCAATGCATACAGGACTCCTGTGTCAGAGTTTATGGAGATGTAGGAGGATAGAGGTGCTTCCTGGAAAGTGTCTTCAGCTAGAGAGTAAATAATCTGAGCATTCTCTTTGCTGTCTGGGTCTAGTGCAGTCACAGAGAAGATGGAGGCACCTCTGGGGTTGTTCTCCGGGATACAGGTGAAGTAGGAGATGTGGGAAAATGTAGGTGGATTATCATTAATGTCTGCCACTTGCAGGGTGAAGTGGGTTTCTGTTAATAGGGGTGGATTTCCTCCATCTGTGGCTGTCACTGTGATATTGTAAAAGGATACCTGCTCCCTGTCAAGGGTTCTGTGTGTCACCAGTCTATAATAATTGTCAATGGATTTCTCTAACTTAAATGGTAGATTCCCTGGTATAGAACAGGTGACTTGTCCATTCTGCCCAGAGTCTGGATCATGCACGTTTAAAAGTGCTACAACAGTTCCCAGAGGTGAGTCTTCCATCAGGGGACTAAAAAGAGATGTGATGGTCACCTCTGGATTGTTGTCGTTTACATCTTCTACTGTAATCAATACTTTTGCCATTGCACTATATGCTCCTCCATCTTCTGCTTGTATTTCTAATTCATAGAAATCCGTTTCTTCATAGTCTAGATTTTCTGATAATTTTATTTCCCCAGTATTTTTGTTTAGTTGGAATTTCAACAATTTGTCAGGAATGAATTTTCGGAATGAATATGTCACTTCTCCATTGACTCCTTCATCCCTGTCTATGGCAGTGACAGTAAGCAGCTGTGTGCCCACAGGCAAGTTCTCCAGAATACTCACTCGGTATTCTGGCAAGGTAAAGACTGGTGCGTTGTCATTTGCATCGAAGACAGTCACACTGATGAGAACCGTACCAGATAGGAGAGGATCACCCCCATCAGAGGCAGTGAGGACCAGGTGGTGCATTGCCTCTTCCTCACGATCCAGGGCATGCTGCAGCACCAGCTCCGGGTATTTGACGCCACTGGCATGACTCTGAACTGCTAAGGAGAAGTGCTTATTGGAGCTGAGTTGGTAGCTCTGAAGGGAGTTCACACCCACATCCGGATCTACAGCTTCCAGGAGAGGAAAACGCATTCCTGGAGCAACATTTTCATTAATTTTCACCTCTACACTTTCTGCTTGGAATTTTGGAGCATTATCATTGATATCAGTTACTTCTATTTCTATCCCAAAAAGTTTCACCCGATCTTCCACAAGAATGTTAAAATTCACCAGACACCATGCGCTCTGAGCACAGAGCTCCTCTCGGTCTATCCTGCCTGCTGTGACCAAAGTGCCGCTTCGCGGGTTTAGAGCGAAAAGCTGCGTCCTACCTCTGGAGACGATGCGGACTCCCGGCTCTGCCAGCTCCCAGGGCTCCAGTCCCAGGTCCTTGGAGATGTTGCCGACGAAAGAGCCTTTCTCTAACTCCTCAGGAACGGAGTAGCGGATCTGCCGGGCTTCAGCCTCCCATGACAAGCCGAGGAAAAGACAAAACAAAACCAGCGCTTTGCGGGTGGAGTGGTTCCTTTTAGCAGCCATTGTTGTCGGGTCAAGGAATTCTGTCCAAGTACTCATGCAGCACGTTGTGTATTCTAACGATTCTTTTTTCTTTTCTCTGGCTGCTGGGAGCCTCTGTAGCATAAGCACCTTAAATTCTGGAGTGAGTTTCGCTGCAGCCCTGGAGCCGGTTTGTAGGAACTGAGGAGCTTTGCGTAGTCAGAGCCCTGAGAATCGGGATTGAGCGCTGGCTGTGTTTCTCTCCTAGTGGACAAACAGCGGCGCTCAGAGTCCGGAGAAGTTACTGCAACCACTATGTGTGCAATGGAAAACAAACGCTACTCTTTATTGGATCTTTTATTTGACAATATTTCTTTGGTTTCTCTACTACTTGTAGGTTTCTTACTGGGTAGAATAAATGGAAAGTACTATGAAATATTAAATGAAAATAACTGGTCATATATATGTATTTGTAACACTTTCTGAGTAGAAACGTATCCACTGATAGCTATATTAATTTTGTGTAAAAAGTTTTCAAATTATTCTTTTCTAAAATAGTTTTATTGAGCCTCCATGAACAGTTTTGAAAACAATGTTTTTTTTATTATAGGCATATATAATTAGAAGTTAATTTGACCTATTTAAATGAATTAAGTAACCACAAACTAAAAGGAA